GGTGTTGCGTAGAGGCAGAACCGAAACACGATTGGTGGGCCGATCATACTCGGGGGGCGATGAAGGAGGCAAGGGTGGATTTGCGCGGTTTCGACATAAAGACGCGTTCGATACACTCAGGACACTGGCGGGCATGGACGTAGGTTGAAATCGACACGGCTGTCAAGCTCGCGTACACATGTGCTCGCGTCGTGGTGAAGAGCCTCTGAAGTGACATGCCTAGTTCCCCACAGTTCAGTGCTGCGAGCACAAAAACTCATTTGCACAAGTCTTAGGCGCAGAATTTCTGACGGGCGGACTCACGATTCTTGGGTGTAGAGAATATGGTCAGATTCTCGGATGCGGAGTATCTTGAGACTTGTATGACATGGTCAGACAAAAACCAACGCTCAACGATCAGATTCTCGAATGACCGAAATCGCGCCCGGGTGATGTTCAATATCTCCCAGATACTGTCACCACAGTCTCATACGTGCAGCTGTGTACCAGGCGGTTTCTTCCTGCGCGGGCTGGCCGGCGCACCGGCCGAGATCCGGGCCGGTGTAGTCGACACAGCGCGAAACACGCAACCAGACTCAGATGAACATTCCCGCAGCTACAAGATGCCCGCCGTTGTTCATGTGCTACAAGAGTATCAATAGCTGGATTAATTTTTTTCGGGCGAGCACACTCGCAAATCGATGTAAGTCTATTGACGGTACAACCTTCGAAGGATCTCTGATAAAGACATTCAAATGCAGCAGGGTGGCCCTCCCGTGGCCTCGACATGTAGAACGTGTCGGCTACGTCGAACGACGTACTCAACAAGGAATGGTTGATGGTCGGCTACCGGCGAAATGCGCCCGCTGGAAGTAGTACGCGTGAGCTACTGACGTAGAGATAGATCTGAATATGAACATCTATGGGCTGTCGGCTGGGTCATGGCTTCGTTCGCCAACGTCGATCTCTCGAAAGGCTGTTGAGCATGGGTGCAAAGCAGGCACATCGCATTTACGCAGACAGCAGCGACATTCAGTATTCTCGCCACGTGTCATGTGGCTTCGCCGTGGGCACTGCCTGCCTATCGCCGCACAGTCCTGGTATCAGGGCGCGAAGTCCTCATAGTGCTCGTCTCGACTCTCTCCTCCTTTCCCATCGAGCTGCATAATCAACATCGATTATTCATGTCTAGCCTGAACACACAGCCCGGACACGTAGGTCAAGACGCTTCAGCCAGCTCCTTGCGCTTCCAAAAGCTCTGGGAGGACGCTCTCAAGAAGTACAATGGTGTCACGGGCTCGGACCTCCGTCGCTCCCCTCTCTTCAACAAAATGCTCGCCGCGAACTCCGCCGAGGAAGTCGTTCGCATTCTGGAAGAACACAAGAAAGGCTTCAAGGCTTTTCGCGCCCATGGCGAGAACGCTCGAGCTGTTATAGGACCGGTCTTTACCTTGACGAAGCTGTTCGTCGATGCCGGTGGCGAGATAACTGCGGCTTCGGTGCGTGCTCTTCTTATGCTAACTGTCCCTCTCTCACCTAGTACGAACAGAGCGCGGTGCCCGGCGGCTCGGCTATTTTCGCGGCGTTCGGGGTCTTCCTAGAGGTACGTCTGTCGTTTCTCGTTTGCATCTAAACCCTGTCCATCTTGCTTTCACATGCTAATAGTTGTCCAGGCAGTGGAGAAGGTTAGCCAGCGCTTTGATGAACTTGAGGGACTTCTGTCGAGGCTCGGAGGAGTCCTCGGCCGCCTTCACAACCACCTGCAATTACGCTCGATGCTCAGCATCGAGCTGGAAGACATCTTCGTCGGCGCACTCGTTCAGCTGCTCAATGTGCTCGCTATCTGCACGAAATATGTCAAGAAACGATCGTCATCTCGTATGGCGTTCTTCATGCGCACGAGTAGGGATCGTTTACATTCGAATACAACTAGTCCCGTTTCTAATCACCGAGACAGAGGACTACGGTCGAGCTCTCCTTGGTGACACGGATGTGAAGAATGCGCTTGAGAAGCTAGACGAGCTGACGAGGGAGGAACTTCTGGCCAATACGGCTCAAACCCTTGATGTGGCGCAAGGCATAGCTGACAAGGTCGAGCTGATCAGCGGTGGCGTTGTGGGACTAAGCGACGGTTTTAAGGCTGGTCTGTCATCACTGCGTAATAGCCTGACACTGTCTTCTCATATTCTCATCCAATGTAATTCTAGTGCATGATGATCTAGCAGATCTGCGAGGCATTGAAGCCAAAGTTTTTGATCTGCATCGTAAGGATGGTTTCTCAGGGATACATGTTCTAGCTCAACTGGGTCTACAGTCGACAAGGACATTTGTGATTGGCTAGCTCCTCCTGATCCAAGTCAAAATCATGAGGAGCGACAAACTTCACATTTGGCTGGCACTTGCACATGGTTCTTCGATAGCAAGTTTGAGGAGTGGAAAAATAGTAGAAATGGTGTGTACTGGATCCATGGGAACCGTAAGTCTTCTATTCAACTGTGGTGGTCATTCAATAACTGTGTGTTGTAGCTGGAACAGGGAAGAGTGTTCTTTGGTGTGTACAGCTTAAAGTTGGCTGACACCCAATTAGTATTAATGGTATGCCTTGGCAATTATAGCTCATCTATCATTGAACATATCTCCTCCATCTCTGGCCTGCACATGGCCTACTTCTACTTTGATTACCGCCGCACTGAGATGCAGACTGTGACTGGCCTGTTGGCCTCTCTCATTTACCAACTTGCTACCTGCTCTGAACAGTGTCACCAAGTCCTGATGAAGTTCCGTGCAGAGAACAGGGCCAAGCTCAGCCCTACCAGGGAGCTTCTTATTGACTGCCTAGAGCAGATCCTCCAGGCTTCCACCAGTGGAGTGGTTATCATCATTGATGCTCTTGATGAGTGTCCACACTCTATCAGACAATCTGAACTATTCCCTACCCTCCACAGACTTGTGTCAAGGAGCCTTGGAGGCCTACACATTCTCTTCACAAGCCGGCCTGAGGCTGACATCCAGAAGCTATATCTGGTTTTCCTGCCCACCAGCTCAAGCTCCATGATGCTGATGCACACACTCGTGACTTGGCTACCTATGTGTCTCATGTCTTTCTGGAGATGACTTCTC